TACTGGCAGGGCACTACCGTCAGAGCTGGGCGCCTGGCCAACAGCCTCCACTCTCTGGCTGCCCAGCTCTGAAGGCAGCGCAGAAGTAAGGGTGGCAATAACGCAACCTCCCTAAAATAACCATGCGATCCCCCTGCAACTGCCTTTTGGGACCCCCAATTTGAGAAACGCTGGTCTCCCCCGTGAAATCTGTATAGTGTAGGGTAAAAGCACACAAAAGATCAGATTTCACGGGGGGAGACCAGATTTCACGGTCCGTGACGCGTTTTTCATGGCCATGAATTTGGTAGGACCCTGCGTATGATTTAACAGGTATGTTGTGGCAGCACCTACCTGCTAAGCAGGTCAGAGCCCTGCTGCATTAGGTGCCATACAAACATAGTAAATAACGGTCCCTGTCCCAAACAACTTACATCTCTCTCTTTTTAAGGTATTCTCCCTCAACTCCTGCAGTCCATTTTTCAGAACCAGATCCAGCTGCTGCAGAGAGCCATCATTGAAAGTGAGCCTTTTCCCTTTCCTCTGCATGCCACACCCTCAGCTTTGGTTTCTGTTGGTAGCACCTGTAGCTATAGTAAAGAGGGAGTGGAAAAGAGTGCAAAGGTGAACACGGGGAAACTGTAGGGTTCACGAGTGTTGTGAAGGGAGGGGGCTGGGGTCAAAGGGCTGCTGAGTGTTGACACGAGGCTGTCAGGGAAAGGGCCTGGTGGGAAGGGAGGGGTTTTATCAGACAGGGCAATTTCAGAGCAAGAGCTGGAGCATGGTGGGGAAGGGGCAGGATGGCATGTAGTATCTGTGAATCGCCGAGTGGGCTGGGGACGGAGGAGCTGTCAGGCAGGACGGGACTCAGCAAATCTGCAGAAGATCCTGGGGCCTAGAAGGGAGATCTCATCCTGGGCAGTCGAGGGGAGATTTCTGAGTAGGTCAGGGATGGTCTCCAGCTTTGTGGTAGGGCTAAGGGGAAGCAGAGCTGCGCTTTGAACTGCCTGCATGACACCATGAGAACTGAGACGCCAGGGAAAATGAGGGTGTTATAGTGCTTGAGGGGAGGGGATAAGTAAGATCATGGGCAGAGTAGCAGGTCCTGGTTTTCACACCAAAGAGCACTGAGGAAGCAGGGCCAAGTGGTTAGAGCACTAACTGGGGACTTCGGAGACCCAGGTTCAATTCTCTGCTCTGCCACAAACTTCCTTTGTGACCTTGGAGAAGTTTCTGGGCCTCAGTTTCCCTTCTGCGCAACAGGGACAGTAGCACTGCTCCACCCGGGGGGTAGGAAGGATATAGCAGAGAGTGTGAGGCACTCAGGTGCTGCCGTGATGAGGGCCAGATAAGTACAGTGTCTGTTGTTAATGGCGATCAGTTGAAACCCTAATGAACTCTCCCTGCGTTCCCTAGGCAGACTGGAGTGTGAACGTCACTGTGGTAAGCCAGGGGGGGTTGCGGGGTTCATTGTTAATGATTTAGCTCTGTGGTTCTCAGCTCTTTCCACCTTGCAGCCCCCCTTCCAGTTAGCCATGTGGGGAGAGCAGGGTGGGCGTGACCCCCGACACCTCTTCCAGTCCATGTTTTGAGACCCCCGATCTAAACAAAAAGCATGACAGTGAATCCGCCCAAATCAGTCCTGGTCCCATTAAAGTTAATGGCAGAACTCCCATGGGCTTCACGGGGGGCTGGGATTTCACCCCAGACCTATACTCTCCACTGTTCCAGCAGCGACCAGAAGTTACTGCTGATATGTCTAACAGGCGACTTCCCCACGCAGTCAGTTTCACTCTTGTATGTTACAGGAATCTTTAGATATGACGCTGTCTCCTGCATGAATTGTAACGTCTCCAGACCAGCTTGCTTTGGATATAACTGCGAGTAGGGAGCACGTCTTTATATGGTGTGTGTGTGTGTGTGTGTGTGTGTTTGTGGGAGAGAGAACTGCCCATCAGCTCCGGCTGAGCCCTGTGGCTGTACTGTACCCAGGGACATTGGTAACTGCCTAAGAGAGGGCAGAGGAAATATACGTCTTCTTTAAAGAGAATAGATTAACAACAGGGCTGTTGATTAACCAGGTGGCCCTACTATAAGAGAAACATCTAAAAAAAGTCCTTACCCCACCCCTCTAACCATCTACCTATCCACAGGTGTGTTCAAACCTTCCCTTTCTTCAACAGGTCATCAGAAGAATGGGAAACAGCCTTGAAAGGCCTTTTTGATTACATGTAAGTGTCAGCTCAGTGTTCGGCTTTCCAGGATCTGTCACTAAGGCTGTGTCTACACTAGGAGAAAGAGGTTAAAAACACATTTTCCTAGTGAAGACAAGGCCTTGTGGATGGTGGTGGTTTAGGTTTTTAGTTCATTACACAGGGTTTTTAATGAGCTTTCCAAATACAATACAAGGCTCTGATCCCGGAACCCTTACTCTCATGAGTAACTGGAATGGGACCTGTTTGAACTAGAGTAGATCGTTTAGAAAAACATCCACTCCTGCTTGAAAGATTGCGAGTGGTGGAGAATGAAACCCCGAACCAGCAGGGGTCAGCAGTTTGGGGGGAATGCACCGGGGCGGGAGAGGCCTCAGATTCAAGAGCTACTTTGACCCTCTTTGGTCCCTCATCTAAGAGAGGGCGGGCGTTGATGGGGGTGGGGATGCTGTTCTGGTTTCTGTTTCCAGCATCTGCACGGCGTGCAGCGATGTAGCTTTGGCTGCTCCGCTGCCCTCGCGCCAGGAAAGCAGAGCCATGCACTGATGGCTTGAGGACAGGGGGAGAAAATGATGGGCCCCTAAACGGAATGATGTTGTTACCTTTAAACCCGGTGTGGCTCTGAGATGGGAGCAGGGAGGCAGCAGCCCCGTTCAGATACTTTTGCAGGCGAGGAAAGATGTTGAAAGCACCATTCCTAGGAAAGCACTGAGCTTCCTCCCCACAGCACATGCTTCTTCTGTCCCTGTAGCAATAGCTGTAGGAGGTAGCACTGGTGTGGTAGGCTCTGGATTTCCTCTTCTCTAGCATGAGAATGACAGTGTTAGTTTAACATTTGCTGTTGGAGACCTTTGCCCAGGTTCAGAGCTCTGCGCTCCGGGGGTTATTCTAGTGGAACTCCACTGGAGGCCTGACTTGGCAGCCATCAGTGCAGTATTGGGTTGTCTGTGTCCTGCCCAGCCCTTTCACACTGACCTCGGGCACCATGCTGGGCCGGCTCAGACCGTGTCTCATAGACTCATAGACTTTAAGGTCAGAAGGGACCAATATGGTCATCTAGTCTGACCCCCCGCATGATGCAGGCCACAAAAACTGACCCCCCCACTTTCCCTTAACTCTGCTGTTGAAGTCCTGAGATCGTGATCTAAAGACTTCAAGTCGCAGAGAATCTTCCAGCTTGCGACCCCTGCCCTATGCTGCGGAGGAAGGCGAAAAACCTCCAGGGCCACTGCCAATCTACCCTGGAGGAAAATTCCTTCCCGACCCCAAATATGGCGATCAGCAGAACCCCGAGCATACAGGCAAGATTCTCTAGCCAGACCCTCATTTTACCAGCGATGGCCGTTATTGCCTAATTGATTAGAATCCCGTAATCCCATCAAACCATTCCCTCCATAAACTTATCTAGCCTAATCTTGAAGCCAGAGAGGTCTTTCGCCCCCACCGTTTCCCTCGGGAGGCTGTTCCAAAATTTCACCCCTCTGACAGTTAGAAACCTTCGTCTAATTTCAAGCCTAATCGTCTAATTTCAAGTCTATAAGGTTGAGTCCCAGAGTGAGGGCAAGGTGAGAACCCACCATTCAACAGCTGGGGGAATCCCTGACATTCCTATTTCACTGTGTGTTTCTTCTTTTTCAGAAACAAAATATACCGGTAAGTGGGGCATTTTTTCCTTACCAGTTGGAAGGACTCCAGGACCAGCAGCAGATATTTTCTATCTACCTCTAATACTTTCCACGCTGGTGACTCCCTGTAGGGAAACAGGGACGTGAAATGCTGCAGCCCTTTCTCTGATCCCTGGGCTGATGGTTTCTAATGGGACACTGAAGGCATCTGTGCTGCAGATTCTCCTTGGGGTCAGATTCTCCTTTCACTGACCGTTATAAATCAGGGGTAACTCCATTGACTGCAACTGAGTTACACCAGGCTAAGTGAGAGCTGAATTGGGCCTAGCCTGGCGGTCAGGATGTTAGCCTAGGACTTTGAAGACCTGGTTCAGTTCTCTCCTCGGGTGAATCACGTCTCTCTGGCTCAGAAATCAGTGGGAGTCAGGGGCCTATCCAGCTTTGAGGAGCTGGGCCTTAGGCCCCGTGGGGGTAGTAGCTGGTCTCTACCTGCATTGATCAGTGTCAGCTGGTGGAACAACTCGCCATTGATTCAGGGCTGCAGGGACCAAGGCTGCCTCTTCCAGGAGCAGTGCTCTGAACATGATGGCAGACTCAGCACAAGTGAAGGAGAAACTCCCCCGTTTAGGGGCTCAACCCTCTGAGCCTGGATGGGGAGCTGCAACCCCTCTTCCAGCCCTTCCTGTGGCAGTGCAGGGGGGGCAGGGGAAGAGGCGCTGAGCTGGAGTTAACCCCTTGTTCATGGGGGACCTGGTAGTGCCCTTGCAGCCTGGCTCAGGGATGAATTCTGTATGCTTTCCTCTGAACTGAAGGGCCTCTAATCTCATGTTTTCTCCTCAGGCAATCAGCAAGGTGGCTAGTTGCCTTGAGAAGGATCCCAGGCTTCCAGTGAGTGTCTGTTCGGCTCCGGTTGTTTGGGCTTCAGGGACCCAGTTCTTCAAATGGCCTCCCTGAAGGGCAGAGATTCCTTTCTCACAGCCTAGGGAGCCAGCTGCCACGAAGCACTCCAGGCCCATGCCAGGCCTTGGCTGCTGAGTGCTCCTCCAGCACAGAGATACACCCAGTTCCTTAGAAAAGGAGGACTGATCCTTCAGTTCTTTTCTCCTGGGCTCAGCCCTTTTAACGCCTATGGACGAGAAATGAGCGGTTACTAGGCATTGCACAGCTATATTCCCCATGCACTGCTCTGACAGTCACCTCCCATTGCTTTGGGGAGTGGGATTAGGACCAGGCCGTTCAATCCTACAGTGACTGCTCCGCTTCTTAACTCATATGATGACTGTGCTGTGTATGGCTGGTCAGTGCAGAAGCAGCAGGGTCGGGAGGGTAGGCCACTGGCTGCGATTCCCAGCTCTGCCACTGAGACAGCTGGGGCAGTTCCCCCTTCCACCCAGGGTCTGTAAGCTCTTCAGGGAAGGGACAGTCTCTCGCTGTACAGCATGATGGGGCTCTGACCTTGTCTGGGGTCAGTGGGCTCTACCATACTGATCTGTAATCCCAGGATAACTAGACTCCATCCTATTCTGGTGAAAGCAAGCTAGCTTTCTGGCTCCGAGGATTGGGGGCCGGGGTTGGTTTTTGACAGCAGTGCTCAGCTACCACCCAGCTCTCTAATCAGCCTCTTTGTCTTTCAGCAATTGCACATCCACCAGGTAAGTAGGCACCAGGAAGGGGACTTGTTAATTTGAGCATAAACTGTAGCCAGCTTCCTGCTCTCTCAGCAAAAGAGCCTCAGTGTTGAGGGGAATCTTTTCTGAGGGATGGGGCTATAGAAGAGCTAGATTATCATTTCCCTCCCACCTTGCTCCTGTCCTATGGGCGGCCTCCTGCCCTCCGAAGCACATTGCAACCATCCTTGGAAGCAGTGGGGGTACAGTTTCATGCAACTTTTAATAACTGAGAACAGACAAGCCTACTTGAGTATTGAGGTGCCATGGTGAAGTCAGAGAACTATATGCAACCCCCACGGAATTATTTCAGATTTCCCTCCCTGCTTCTTCCCCCTAGTGTAATGAACATGGCACTCCTGTCCCAGGACGGGCAAGCAGAGCCCTTTAGGTAAATGCAGCTTGGCCACTACGCTGCACTGCTGCCCGCACCGTAGGAACTCTGGCTTTGCGGTCACTTTTGTGGCCAAAGCTACAGTCTTGGCCCTAGTACTTCCTGCTGAGACCCGTCACGACCCTCTAGATTTAAGGAGGTAGAAAACAATCTTCACACATTGACTAGTTGTTGCTTTTACTAGGGACTGAGTTTAGCGTATTTCCTTCCACTGAGAGAGAGCACGCGTGTGCCCCTTTCAGCCCCTGCAGCATTTCATTTTTTACTAGAAAATTATTAATCTTGAATGTTTTATTCTCCCTTCCCTACAGCCCAGCAATGCTCAACTTTAAAAGTAAGTTTGCAAATAGAGGATTTCTTATAGCTTTAAGGGGCTGGGGGCTAGCTGCGTCTGCGGCTACAGTTGACTTTTTCCTCCGGGTCTCCCTGGCCAATAGCAGCACTGCTAGAGACAGGAGCCGGTGTTTGCCAGCCTTCTAACCATGATGTGGACCTGCTCACCAGGGATAGAGGAGATGGAGCCAGGGCCGGCTCTGTTGGCCCTAGATGGGGGGTGGCTTGGGGATACATGTTTAGCAGAATCGCTAGTGTAGACACCACAGGAAGGGCTCTCCAATCTGCACTACGGCTGGAGGTTATTGGCCTGCACAGAACAGTGGAGGATGCAGTTTGCAGACCTCTGGGGGACAAGGACGATGACTGGGGTCCCTCGTTCAGCCTCCTGGAAGGTAATGGTTTGTATGTGTTTTGCCATTGTTTGTAGGGCCTTAGCAGGAGTTGAAGTCTAAAAATGAGTAGAAGAGGGGACACAGAGGGCATTTCCTAAGGGAAAAGTGAATTAAAACTATCCAGTACGTGGAGCTGGAGCCAGCAGGTGTCCAAGTCTGAAAGGCAGAAGCTGGATTTAAAATGCAGAGTGGTTAGCAAAAGTCATAATCCTCACACCAGCTACACTCATGTTCTGCTTCAGCATGCTGTTTCCATTTGCCCTTGGTTGCAAACGCACAAGAGGGGGCATCAGTGCTCCTCTAACCGTGGGACTGATGCCAGGACAGGCCTTCTCCATGCTGCCCCCCCCCCGAGCGAGCTCTGCCAATGCACCTCACCTGTTAATTGTGGCTGTTTTATTAAATGGCAATTTTTCTTGAGTCGAGACTAGGTCAAACCCTTCCCTGCTGCCCTATGGCATGTTGGAACAGAGTTCCGTTTTCTCTGCCCTCAAAACTGAAGCCACAGTAAAGATATACAAGCCTTTCTGCACTGTGGTTTTGAAGGCTCCAACCATCTGAGAGCAGCTTTTCCTTGCTCCCAGCTGGAGCATCTGTAAACAGGCCATCTTTCTCCCAGCTTGAGTTTCATTGCAGATAGCGGATTGCAGCCCTTTGCTTCAAAATGATGTTTCCTCTGCTGCCGCCTCCTTTCCTGGGTACTCAAAGAGATTGCACTAGTTCCATTCATCACATGGGCTTAGCTGTGCTTTTCAGACCAGTCCAAGCGCTGATGGGTTTTTGTTTCTTCCACCTCCAAGGGATAAAGGCCAGCATGTCTGAGACTTGGCACAACACACGTGTGAACAGGAAGACTACTGGATGGCACAAATACAGAATCCCCCCCACCAGAGTGATAGACTGCTGAGCTGTGATTTTTTAAATGAATACTTAGAATGTATTAGGTGTAAGGGAAATTAAACAAACGATCAGTGGAGTGCTATGTTATACTTCTATACATCATCACGTTTCACACACACAACTCAAAGGCGATTTAATCAAAATGCATCAAGCCACTGGACAGCAGGAAATCACTTTTTACCTGAATGCCTGCATAGTTTCCCTGCCTCTTCAGTTGCATTAATAAGCTTCTGTATTCCACCCCAGAACTGGCTGCAATTTCAGTGACAGCTAAAATGATCTCTTGAAAATGGTTTATAAAAACCTCATCCACCACTCTTAATAAAAGGCTGTAAGACTAGAAAGGTATTACAAAAATCAAAATTAACTTTTGTTTTGAAATTTTATTAGATCATCTTGACACAAAATTGTTACAGCAGCTTGTGGTCTTTCTTCGTAAGGGAATGTTGATAGCAAATAAATTCTTTAATATAACACATCAGACAGTTTCAAAGGTCTAGAATCACTGCACAGGATTCTTTAAGAGAAGACTCTACATGCTAAAGTGACAGTTTTCATCCATTAATTTTTTAATTCCCCCACCCCCACTAATTAAGGAACGTTATCATCCTTTAAGACAACTGTAATATGTTCAGTTTCTAATACACAAACTGGCTAACCAAGGGAGGTTGAGTGTCAATACCAAACCAGACCACTTCACCAGCACAGGAGCCTGCCACGAAAGGATTCCGGCAGGACACAAGTGCAATCAGACAGCAGACGATGCTGGTCCTAGCAATAAAACCACAGCAGAGCCTTTCGAAAACGCCCTAACATGGGAAGAGTGTAAAGAGGCACAGTGTGTCTAACAAAAGGTAAGATCGGGATCAGTTCTGATCTCACCCTTTGTCCCCAGGCTGTAGGGTTGTTATCAGTCTGCTGTGCAATACTGACATTTGTTGGAGGGGGGAAGTTGCCAAAAACTTAAGTGCAGACATTGTCCATGTCTATCTCCTCCACCGGAGCCCTTTTGGTAGTAGCAATTGACAGTTCTTTACCCACATCTCAAAGTAATAACCGTTTAGTGCATTCCAAGTCTGCTGGAAATAGAACAGCACAAGGAATTGAAAAAGGAGAGATTTTGGAAAGTGATGCCAGTTAGGAGTATGGTCCTCATTTGTACTTCAGTGACAGAAAACTCCCTTTCCAGTCAAAGATTCCAGGTGAACTCTCAACAGCACAGAATGGAGTCATTTTATCAGACCCTCCTTTATACCCTTGTAGTAACTCGTACCACAAACACAAGTGTGTAGTGTTCTCCATCCACTCCCGCTCGGCCCCAATTATACCTTGGCTGCTGGCACCTGGCTATGTCCAAATCTACCTTCATGAAAGCAGGGCCAGCACAATGCTCCAGGGACCAATTAAACACATTGTCACATCTCAACATGGATAACATGGGGACAAACGTTTTGGAGCAGGAGGTATTTTAGGTGGCTATTTCTCCAACTTGCTACTGGTCAACCTCATCTGGTGAGCCACATTATAAACAAAATAAAAAACAGGAACAAAAAACCTTTGGATTTCCAGTTTCTTTGCTACATTCTAACTTTTCAGGAATGTGAAATTTCAGTGCACTTTACAAAGCACATCAGCAGAGATCACTTATGGGGAGATGTTTAATAGGCCTTGTTTTGGGGATGAACAGGAGCAGAGAGGACTAAGGAGTCAACACTTTTCAGCCCATGGTTTAGCTGTTGTTAACAGAAGGTAAGACCCAAGGCAGCTACCATAAGCAGAAACCCAGGAGTGTCCCAAACTCTTACCAGGTGCCTACTGATTAGCTCTTACGATATCAAGGATGTTGATATTCGGGACCAAGTGAGCTTGAGAGTAGGAGGTGGTTGCCTTCAGGTCCAACACCAGCTTCTGCTAAAAATATACACCTACTAAAGCAGACATATTCCATAGACAAGGGCCAAGGCAACCTTCTACGTTAACAATGCTACTGATAACATTCTGCTCCATATGGGAGGCAGGGTGTATTGGATTGCTGGGAACTGCTGAATAAATAACCCCCCAAACATGTCAGGATCTCACTGGGCTGGAAAGGGTTAACATCACAGTTGGTAAAAAGATTCCAAATAAAAAAGGTAACATACAGCCTTAAAATGTCTAAACTGCAAACAATGGTGGAGTTAACTGAAAAGCACGTGCCCCGAGATAGTACATGCGTACGAGGGAGAAACGTAACACTTGGATCTGTTTGTCTTACACTTCTTTAAGTGCATCTCTTGTAGTTGCAATATTTATAAAGACTATTCAGCACTTTGATAATGTCTCTTTCATCTCATCCAGCAAGTTGCTCAGCAGGGTGGAATCGTTACATTTTCCGTCAACGGATACTGAATTCTCTCCCTTTAAAAAAAGAGAGAGTCAGTTAAGCCCCTTCTTTAGTAAGGGCACAATTCTACTCCCAGTGGAGCCAGTGGGAGCCAAGGCAGGCCCTAGGTCTGTTCTTTGGGAGGGTGAATAGGCAGTGGCTGATTAGCCACTGAGCCGATGGGGCCTGTGCCCAGGGGACCTGCACAACTGGGGGACGCCCCCGTGCCCCGATCCTGCTCCGCCGCAGCAGCGCCAGGCGTGGGAATCCCTAGCGCCCCCAGACACCATCAGAAGCCGCGGGACAGGGGAAACCCCCCCTTCCCCATCCTCGGCAGAAGCCGCGGGGCAGGAAGGGAGGGAGGGAGAAGCCCCAGCACCCAGACCTCTGCTGCAGCCCTGGCACTGGAGGAGCTCTCACTCCCCGCTGCACTCCAGGGATGTGGTGCAGGGTCAGAGCTTCTCTGGTCTTGGGACCGGAGGGGGGAGGGGAGGGGGAAAGGAGCAAAAGGGGTTGTGGGACTGTGGAATGAGGGGGGACCCTGGGTGGAACAGGGGGCAGGGCCGCAGGCAGAAGGGGAGTGACCCCTGTGAGCCCCCTCTGCCCTGTACCAGGGCCAGGGCCCCAGGAAACCTTAATTCACCTCTGGTGATAAGGTGTGCTCTGCACAACGGCACTGGCCCGTTCATTCAGTCACAGGACAGCATGAACAGAGGTACAGGGCGGAGGGGGCTCACCAGGGGTCACTCCCAAGCAGCTGTGCTGGCTGAATGAAGCCACCCTGAATCCCACCCTGTACGATTTTTATGAACTGGGAATAAAAAGGCTCCCAGATAAGCTAGTTTCCACCTGACTGCGCCATTGCAGAACCTTAAGGAGCACTCACCTTTTTTACCAGTAGGCAGACATGATGACCTTGGATAGAACGACTGTACATTGATGCACAAGAGTCAACTCGTTCCACAACTACAGAAGAAAGCAGTCATTTTTATTTAACAGCTTTTTCTACCTTCTCCTAAAAGAGTAAATACAGCCGCTGTCTGGGACCATCCCGCTGACAGCGACCTGCCCCATGAGTTAAGGATGCCTTAATCGTCAATTTGCTTGTTCAAATTTTTGGGCTATTTTGACATATTAAGTTTAATTATGATGTGACTTCACAAAATTGACCCTCTTGCAGCAAAGAGCATATTTACCCAAAAGCTGTTAATTTAGCCTAACAAACACTGGCCATTTTAAAAGCCACGCCGCTTTGGTGAAGAACTGCTGGGCACCAGGATGTGGTGAAGACATTCCACTTTAGTCTAGTCATTTAGAATTTGCAATTACTCCAAGATATAAAGCTAAATTCTTCCCATTCCAATTACATTTAGTGCTGGTGATTGACAGCACTGGAGGCTGAAGTATTCTCTCCATAGAACCAGCAGCACTGGCTCCCAATGTGCCTCACTGAACCGGACAAATTATTTATACAGACCCAGTGGGAGCTGATTTTGAATGGTTCAGGATTTAATTAGTTCCTTCTGGGACAGGACCCCTGTCTACTAAAACTGGGCCAAGATTCCTTCCTCCAAACTGGCTTCACCTGGACTGAATTTGAATCAATGATCTAGAGCTTAAGAGCATCTACCTTCCCTAGGGCAAGCTAGTCCCTTAAGTAGTAATTTCAGAACAAGAAACCTTGCAGCAGGTTCTGTGTTAGGAACTCACCTGAAAAATGATGATAAAAACAAATCTTTGCTAGTAGATGTTGGAAAGAAATGCTAATTCCGTCTACTTTTATAGAACTCATGTGCAGATCCCCAGACTCCAGCAGCTTGGCGAAAGCATCACTGCAAAAACATGAAGGAGGGATCATGGTATACACTTAGGCTACAAGCCCGTGCTAAGCTCTTTCGTGACAGCACCATGCAGGCTTTAATGAGTCTAATAGTGCAGCAGCTCATATACAATTAAGATCTAGCAGGAGACTCCGGTTTAGGAGTGGAACTGGGATCTAGCCTCCAGCTGTCTCAGGGTATCCCTATGATCTCTGAAGCAGGGAGAAGGAGAAAAATACGCTGCTTATTCAGCGACCTACTTTTGCTAGCCCATCACACACCACCATTCATGTTGTGTCAGGGTAAAGGGGGATGGGAGGACGTATGTTTTAAGTAAGGAGTAGGTTACATTTTCCTCAGAACAGAAAAACTACAAATAGAAGCAACCACTGGCTGGGAAAGTCAGAAACATGCTGCACATCTGCAAAGCAGGCCCACAGCCAAAGCTTCACGTGGGTGCCAATGGTGCACAGGGGATGTTGGCGCCCCCTCGGGTGGCACTTACCTATAGCAAGGCGTTGTGATCAAGTATGAAGCGCAACTGAAGTGCACTTTGAAATCTAGTTTTTCATGGGTTGAACCTTCATCGTTCTGCAACAGGTCAAAGGAAAGGAGATGAAGGGGAGCCCGGAGGCAGCGAGAGAAGGTGCCTACCCCAACCTACCACACAGAGGCCTGGATGAGATTTCACTGACTGGCTCTCAGGTGAAGCATCCCATTAAGGTTCACGCCTGAAGGGCTAGCTGGGGACTGAGGGGTGGAGTTACTGCCACGATTAGGGAATTTGACTTTGGCCACCCAGTGTATTAAGAGATGAGTTTGGATTTTTTTGTCTGTGCACGTAGAGGGGTTAAAGGACAGTTTAAACACAGTGAACCAGACGGATCTGGCC